TTTTTTTTCAAATTTTTTTTAAAATATTTTTTTTTTTTTTTTTTTTTTAAATGCAACATTGGTTTTAAATCATGAGTTTTGTAAGTAACATTCCCCTTTCACACCAGTTTGGGATGAAGACATAAACAGTGTTACCAAGTAGATATTTTAGGTCAAGTAAGTATGTTAGGTCAAGTAGGTACATAGGGTCTAATAGACATGTTAGGTCAGTAGATCTGTTAGGTCAAGTAGATCTGTTAGGTCATTCTGTTTGAAAATCTGAAAAGATAATTTTTGGTTCAGTGCTTTTTAGAAAGAAGAAGAAAAAAAAAATAGATTCTGCTGGATTCCATCTTCAGCGGAAAATACAACGGATATCTCAGACAAGAAAGCACCTCATGTTCGACGTTGATCACTTCGAGCCAAACTGACATTATTGAGATCTTCAAAAACATTAGTTTTATTCTTTGATTTCAATTCATATATCATTTATTAATTATTGAATCGCCTGCTGAGGTAGGCATTTTTAAAGGCACTAAATGTATCTTTAGATACATTTTTTTTTTGAAGTGTATCCCTTTTATAAATTAGAATTTTAGTTTTCTTCACAGGTTCAAGCATTGTAAGCTGTAACAAAAGTCATACTCTTTCTGGTGCTCCTTGGGAATAAACATGACTCTTGATGTGTTCCCTTTGTTGTCAAGATGTGGTGCTTTGTAACAAACAAATTTCAAATGAAATGGGTAAAAAGTAGCTCACCTATGCCCCTAGTCCAAATACAACACTATAAACTACAGAAAGTACTGAAGTCAAGAAAACTGATCAAACCTGTTATTTAAGACTGTCTTCAAGTTAAAGTAAAAGGAAAATTAACTTGAATAATCCTATTGTGTCCATGGTCTTCATGCTACTTCGTGATTTTTGACAGTCCCCAGGATCATTGACTGTTAAGGCGATCAGTGGGTGGACACTTCAAATAACATACACATGTAAAGTTCAGCTGAAATGATTGCAAATTTTAAAAAACACAAAAGCAATTACATTTATCTCAATTTCAGTTCATTACTACCGGTATGTAAATTTATTTGCTGGTGACAAGAAAAACAGATTGCACATATAATTTCAAAAAATTAATGCAGACGTTTTTTGATGCTAGATTTGTAAATAAAGTAAACAATTGTACCTTCGTCCACACAGGTGAACATTTTCAAGCTATTTATCAAATTTTATATGATAAGACATCTTTTTTTTTCTGTTATTCATTGAAAGATTGGTGAACACTTAAATTTGACTGTATTCTTTTTCTATGTGTTTTAACTGCAGGATGTACATAATTACTAAGTCATAACTCTCAAATTCTTGCATGTATTCATTATTGATTTTATGTTTCATGATTTTAAAAAAAAATTTTTGTTTATCAATCTGTAGGAGTATTTCTTAACATGAATGTCAATACCGTATAATTTATTACAACTTTTCATTGATACAAGCTTACCATTTGGAATATTAAAATGAACTATAATTGTGCAAAGATCCTGGCAGTGTTTTACTTCTTTTTTTTTTTCCCTTGATTTGAACTTAATTTGCAGTGATTTATTTTTAAAAAAGAAATTAAATTTTCCTTAAGAGCCTTATTCTTTGTTTATAGGCATCACCACCATATGCCAGTTTTATGAAAATTGTGGCAAAAACAATATTTTATCCCTCGTGACCACCACACCGCACTACTTCATTTGACCATTCTGGTATTCATCACCATTCAGAGCCACACATTATCAATCATAAATTAAATCCTATAACTCTCTCAAGATCTTTAGCATTAGCCCTCTTTCGTCCAATTCAAGTATGGGTATTCATAGTATGACATGCTGGGTGGCTGAGCGGGTGATGGGTGGCCGAGCAGTCTAAACTGAGTCAATGCTTGTTGACTGGAGTTCAACCTCCAGCGAAAGCCTAGACAAGCTAAAAATAACACCACCAGCAACTGTGTGGATTTGCACTCGTTAACCTTGGATGGTAACTCATCTAAAGAGAATGCAAATCTCGAGATGGCGTCATGGACATTGACCCAATGAAAATTCTAACAACTTCTATGACATGGAACACTTCAAGAGTGTTCCACAGTGAAACACAAAAACACTGCTGGTCATCTGAAGCATCCTGGTCCATTTCCAGTCCGTCTCGACCAAGTCTAGCCATTGGATCCGACAATGGACGAGAGAGTGAGGCTGAAGAACTAACTCTCCCTCACTTTAAACAAAATACAGCTTGAGTCAAGGCTTCTACTACTACTCGAGTTGAATATTGCCGTGTGAAGGACAAACAACAATAATAATGATGATGTAAGCCATTCATTTCTTTTCATTTTTTTTTTTTTTGTGGTTGTTTTTCAAGGCCTAACAAACTGATTATTATTATTATAGTTATAGCATCTATTTTCTATAACTATAAAATGGTTTTAAATTGATGAGCCAGTGAAAATGAAGTATTGCTTCATATAGTCTGGTGCAACTTTACTGCAGATTGCTGAATCGAATTTCAATACAAATTTGTTTCTGCTTAATTAACAAAAAATAATAATATTTTAATTTTAGTGATGAATTCGGCCCACTGATTCAAGAGAACTAAATCCTATAGGTTTTATTCTAGGGTTTTTTTTAATGGTACACAATATAAGATTTATCAAGACTAATGATAGCTAGATCTAACTAACTTTCAGACAGTGGTCACACCAAAACATTTTTCTTACATCAGTGGTTTTCAAACTTTATTGTACTGTCCTGCACCTCCTCCCTGGTACAGTCCTGCACTTTCTCCGCTTCCCAAAAAATAGCTATTTAGGGTTGTGTCATCATCTCTTCTCCCCCCCCCCCAAACCCCATCTCCAGGTTGGAAACCAGATTTACATAAACCATTGATGAAAAGAGATCATGTAAATAACTTGATGAATGGTCATGCTGCCCTGGACATGTACACAACTTGATAGTCATGCTGCCCCGAACTTGTAAACAACTTGATAGGCATGCTGCCCTGAACACGTAAACAATCTGAAAGTCATGCTGCCCTGTAAACAACTTGATGAGTCATGCTGCCCTGAACATGTAAACAACTTGATAGTCACACTGCCCAGAACATGTAAACAGCTTGATAGTCATGCTGCCCTGCACATGTAAATAACTTGATAGTCACTCTGCCCTGACAATTCACACGAGTCAAGATAAACTTACAACAATATATGCAGCAGACACGTCGCAGCAGACATGTCCAACCAGCCACATCCAGGTGGAAAAAAAGCTTCTTTCTTCAACTTCAATTATTATTGTCTTTGTTTTTTTGGGTTTTTTTTTTGTGCTAAATTAATTTATAACACAGAAACAAATCAATTTTATAAAGTTACCGTTACCATAACATTTCTTCTGAAACACATCTTATTAATATACTGTATAGAAGAGAAGACAATAAATCAACAACTTGACAGCACCCTTACAGTGACCTCCTTGCACATTTTTTTTAATATTATGAATAAAGCAAATGAACCACTCAATGAAAACATTGTCATGGATTCAGGAACAAATGGCATGTGCTGGTGAAGTAACAGGTGTCTGGATATGATATGGATGGCACTTTGATCGAATGCGGGCTAACATAAAATAAGAATGATAGATTGAAAATATTGATTTCATAAAATAATTAGGGGAACCAACAGTAAAATGTCTCTTTAAATCTTTTTTTTTTTAAACAAACTATTATTGGTACCGTATTATTTTACAGGAACTGAAAATTTTCTCAATTCCACAAGAGCTTCACAGAGGGGGCAACTGCTAATGTAGCCCACAAATCTCTGTCTTGGGGGGGGGGGGGGGG